GCCTACAGTATTTTTACAGCATTTGTTTTACAGTTAAAATAAATGTTTATTAAATAAAGTCTAAGGTTACAACTAATCAGGGATCCCTTTAAGAAAAACAAGAAGGTTCCGTTGAAACTAGTGTTGCCACCGCAATTTGTTCCTTATATTCATAATGTCCAATAAACATGTCCCTTTCACTCAAACAAACTAAAAAGCCCMTCCTCTCCAACCCCGGCTATGATCCACGTGTGTGTGTGTCTGCTCTCATGGTGACACACACACCTGCTGCTCACAGAAACTGCGCCTTTTAAAAATGTCCACAGCACTCGATATTCCACTACATCCTTCAAGTGAAAGCAAAAGTTCAGACAAGATGTTAGCAGGAAGAGGAACATCCTTGGCTGGACAGTCAGAGGCAGTGATTACAAAGACATATAGTAACAAGTGTTGCTGATTTTAATTATGGTTTTTTTCACCTCCCAAACTTTATTGTAAACAAAATAACCTTGTCACAAAAGTACAAAACAACACATGCCAGGACTTCATGATTGTGTCCCATTTGTTGTTGATTCTTCACAAATAAATAAAAATTATATATCTTTATGTTTGAAGCCTGAAATGTGACAAAAGACTGAAAAGTTCAAGGGGGCCGAACACTTACGCAAGGCACTGTATAATTAAATCCTCCATTTTGACAGTTAGGCTTGACAAGAGGAAAAAAAACTTTGAATGCAACAGTCCAACTTCCAGTTTTTTGTGCGTCACTTCCATTTCTCCGCTCCCCTGGGCTAACTAATAGCAACTGAGCTAATTGGTGAACAACATCGTGGGGACATTTCCAAAAAAAAAATTAAAATAAAAATAAAAAATCACTGAACAATCGAAGYGGAAAGTCAGTGCCAGACCCTCAAACTATGCTCCAGTATTCTGGTATTCTCATATAATGTAGGAGGATATTTTAAACTATTGTGTTGTCACTTGGTGCAGATGGGTGCACGGTGCACAATTACAAATTTATAGAGGCATATCAGTACCTCCACAGTGGAAAAGTTAACAAGGTGTTAATCAATAACAATATTGATGAGCTGGTATTCGTGAAGGCTGATGTCCAGCCAAGACAGAACAAGTCTGAAGCTCTCTCTGCATGGATCCTCATTGCATCAGCGGCACTGAYGGGTGTCACGGGTCAGGGGAAGTCCTGCAGTCATGCAGCAGGTAGGCTAATTAGGTTATATATTAGGTTTATAGATTTATAGAAAGCAGTGCTTAATTTTTGRGATTGAGCTAACTTAATGGATATCGTTAATGTTTAAAGAAGTCTTTAAAAAATGTTAAAATATGAACAGTTTATAGTTGTTACTATAATCTGTTCATATTTTCTATATAACTGTGACATCAAGGACTGTAATACATTAAAAAACTGTGAATTAAAATAGCCAGTCTTGCAAAAAAACCTACAATTGACTGTGTCCGTATTGCCGTGAAAATAAGTTGGATTAAACTGAGAGTTTACAAAACAAAGGGAAACAGGAWAAAGGGAAATTAACAGGCTTTGCATTGTTACAACAAAGAAATAATCTACCAAACACACATTTCCTTACTTTATGCGCCAAGTTTATATAAAGAAAACTTAAAATTATCTAGTTTATTTGAGACTTGTATTTCAAAACAAGACGGATAAAAACAGTGTTTTATTTTCTGTACAACATTACAACACAAACACAACATGACAACAGCATGTCCCATTCGTGTGTTTAATCACAGACAGCTTATGCTTCTTAAGGACAGTTTGAGCCCTTCACCTTTAGGATTGCAAAATTATTTCCCACCAGTCCCTGAAATTACTCAACATATGACTAAACAACCTATTATCTGAAGATATAAAAGTTGTGTATTCATGACATTTCTCATACCTGAAAATATTTATTGTTACTTCACTGTTCCAGTGTGCAAACCACAYTSTTGAGGTAGTTATTTTTAAAATACTGACATTGTTAAAACACTGAGTTGACAGAGTTATAACAAGGGTAGCAGTAAGAGTGTGAAGTAAAAATGTTGAGCTAACATTTCAGAAATAATTAAAGTGAGCACTATTATTTAAATAACTTTTTACAGATGTTTGTATAGATGTATTTTGCAGATGTCCACTTTAAACGGACCAAATGTGACTGGATATTGTGTTTTTATTTTATTTTATATCGCTCATTGATCAGTGTCGTGTTGGGTGAAGAGGAGTCCACAGTAAAAAAAATAAAAAATTAAACGGTGGTAACGGAAAAAAAGATGTGAAAATCTGAAAATCAGCTGTGTGCTCACGTTCAATAGGATCAAATCAGCTGCTTTTCTAGCTTTTATAACAACTGGCTTCAGAAAAAAAAAAAAAAGCTGCTGAAGCCAAAGCTGACCAGAGTCCTGCTCCTCAGCGCTGCTGGAACGCAGTCATCCTCTGTCTGTCACACATGCATCTGGCATCTGGGGTCGTGACACCCATGGGCTGCGGTCCTGGTGGGACCTGGGGGGCTTGGGCCCTGGCTGGCGGTTGCCGGGCTCTGGACCAGTTTGTGCCCTGGTGCCCGGCTCTGGGCTGGGAGCCTTCGGTGCACTGGTGGGCTGGGGGGCGKTGGTGACTGGGTGCAGGGCTGGTGGCCAATGGAGGGGGTAGGTCAACCCAGCCTGGGTGTCTAGTTTGCTATATGTTCTGAGAGTTGTCCGAATGTTGGGGTGGGTGTAGTATTTCTTCTGGGGTGGGGGCTGTGCTGGGGCCAGAGATGGGGACTCGTGACTTGGACTTAGACTTGAGTCGCACTTAAGTCCCTACTATTAGAGACAGACTTGACTTGGACTTGGACCCTAAAGACTTGAGACTTGACTTGGACTWGGACCCTAAAGACTTGAGACTTGACTTGGACTTGGACCCTAAAGACTTGAGACTTGACTTTGACTTGTGGTTTGAGACTCGTGAACAATACAAATCTTTTCACTGCCCGGCTCACGATTCTCACTCCCTCAGTACATATCCATGCTCCGCTCCTTTGAGAACAAATACATTAAGTTTTAAGAGCAAAGACATTTACTCCTGCTCTCAAACTGAAAATATCCGCTCTTGATTAAAGTTCGAATAATTCTTCCATACACTCCGCTCCCCCTCACCTCAGAATGGGAGGCGCCAACGCCGTCCAATGTTAATCACATGTACCCTACGTGACAAACAGAGCTTCAGCATGGCAGGTGCGTTGCAGTATATTCATTATAAGCTTTGCTTACAGATACTTTATAATGGCAAAATTAAAAGTGTGTGTTTTTGTGATGACTTGTGCAGTCATTTACTTTAAGGTTTCTGGTTCATCATCTTTGCTGACTTGCTTTTATGCATTTAAAAATATTTGTTCTGGTATTTTATTGTAAAATCAGCAGCAGACTTGTTGGATTTGTTCTTTGTCAATAGTAAGATATAATAACAGTACGCCTTTGTAAGACTACAAGTGCAAAATACAGTTAAAATGTTTGATTGTTATTTCAACCCTATATGTATTTTAAAAACAGTATTATGATTTAATAGTATTATTAAAACAATACTGTTTTAATATTTTATTAAACTATAGTATTATAGAATGTAATCTAGTATAGTTAGGATACCTTTGAGCAAACTGTCAGTTAAGTAATACATGCAACTAAACATGGACTTGAGGTCAAGAGACTTGAGACTTGACTTGTTTTTTTGGTCAAAGACTTGGACTTGACTTGTTTTTTTGGTCAAAGACTTGGACTTGACTTGTTTTTTGGTCAAAGACTTGGACTTGACTTGGTTTTTTGCTCAAAGACTTGGACTTGACTTGCTTTTTGGTCAAAGACTTGGACTTGACTTGTTTTTTGGTCAAAGACTTGGACTTGGCTTGTTTTTTTTGGTCAAAGACTTGGACTTGACTTGCTTTTTGGTCAAAGACTTGGACTTGACTTGGTTTTTTTGGTCAAAGACTTTAGACTTGACTTTTTTGCTCAAAGACTTGGACTTGACTTGGACTTGGAGTCAAAGACTTGAGGCTTGACTTGGACTTGCAAAAAAAGACTTGCGCACATCTCTGGCTGGGGTGGCTGGTTGGTCCCTTTGTTTTGGCGGGGCTTGCTCTTGGTGCCTCCTTGCGCTGCCAGTGGCTGGATGGGCACTCTCAGCTGAACCTTCCTTGCTGGGGTTTGGTGGCCTCTTTTGGTTGCGAGCTGGCTGTGGGACTGGGGGTCTGGTCTTGCGGGTCTGGATGGCTCTGGGGTGGATGGATTGTTGGTCCCCTTCTCTGTTGTTCCCCTGGGCTCTGTTTTTGTCCATGGCCTGGGGCTCCCTGGGCCTGGTGGTCGGTCTAGAGGAGGTGGCTTTGGGACCTCACTCCCTGGGTGGGTTTCGGGGAGGGTCCTTCCAGGGTCAGTGGGGGAGCTGACTCCCTGTGGGAGCAGTTTGCTCCCTCGGTTGTTTTTCTCCCCATCCCTCACCACATACCCCCACTCCCCTCATTTTCACCTCCACTCATGTAGGGTTTCTGGGGTGTAGGTGCGTTGCAAAGAGCAACAGTTTTACATCCCTGTTTGTCATAACCACCTGAGCCCCAATTTTATTATGCACTCCAGACATTCAATTACAACATCTTCATGACATTCACATACAGGAACTTGGGGTGGGCACCCCATGGCAGGCAAGGGCACCTGTGTCCASCCCCAAGGGTTGCTTGTAGACATTTAAGTTTTTTTGGGGGGTTGGAGTTGGGGTGGAGGGTAAACTGGCCCAATGTTGGCGTCTGCCCCTCTTCTTACCCATTTTAATTGCAATTTAGAACAATATGCATCAACAGCACATCTGGGGGGTGGGGATGTGTGTGTCGGGGTCTTTGTTTTTTTTCTCTCTTGACCTACCCTGCTCTGCGATTGCCATTTGGGGGTGGGGGTGGGGGTGGGGGGTCAGAGAAGGGACGGACCGTCTGGTGGGGGCCTGGGCTATGGTTGGACTCTGGGGTCTGGGGGGAGAGCCAGGGGCCTGGCGGTCTGTCTTCCCCAGGGTTGTTTGGACTCTCGGATTGTGGTCCCTGGTTGCCATGGTTGGCCCGCTGGCTGGGGTGGCTGCCGGGGCCTGGCTGGTGGTCGGCTGGGGGTGTACACTTGGCCGTTGGTGGTGTGTGGGGGTGGTCAGGGGTGTTGTTTTGCTGTGGCAGGGGCCAGCCAGCTGGCCTGGTGCAGCCCAGGCCGGGCCTTGGCYGTCTGCTCTTCCACACCCCAGAATGAATGGGCTTGCCTCCTKGGTTTGGATATGGCCTGCCCTCTGTAGGGGGTGGGTACGTGTCCTGGACCTGGGGGTATAGAGTGTGTATCGGGAGTGTGAGTGGGGTGTGGCATTCTTCTTGTTTGTCTTTGAATGAGTGGGTGTGAGAATGAGGGCGGGACTGTGTGAGTGTGTCTGTGTATGATTGGGTGTTTGTCAGGCTGGGATTCGGGCTGCCCTCTCATTTGGTTCACCTGAGAACCCACTGCTAGTGGTGGGCTTTGCCCCCCGGCTGCACTGTCCTCTGGTGGGGTGTACCTCTGCCCGCCGGTGCGCTGATGGCTCTCCATGTCTGGGGATGGGTGCTTGGGCGTGTGCCGGCTCGGCCTGGTGACTGCCTAGTGGGGCTTGGGTCCTCTGGCCCCGTCGAACCTTGGCTTGGGGGCGGGGCGTGCGCCCTGGGGATCCAGTYCTCTGCCTGGATCTGCTCCAGCGTAGTGGGGGCCGGCGGGGCCTGTGAGGTCGTCGCTGTTGGCCCTGTGGGTTCTGCGTGTGGTTGCTGGTGGGGCTCTCTTGGTTCTCTCCTGTGTTCCTCTCTGGGGGGTGGGTGGGCAGTACTTGCTGCATGGGTGGCCTTGGGGGTTCGGTGCTTGGGGTCTCTCTCGGGGTCTGTGGCTCTGGTCCCCCTTCTGTCTGCCTTGGGTCGTGGGGGTCGGTTCTTTGGTCCTCCACAGTCACTATTTAATATTCCACTGGAGAAATCTTGAATTTATATGCATGTTCACAAAGGCCCAAAAAAAGGCATTCGGATCCTGGGATTTCTGACGATCACTGAATGTGTGTGTAAAATGTGTATGTCTGTTGGAATGTATGTATGTATGTATGTATGTATGTATGTATGTATGTATGTATGTATGTATG